TTTCACCCAAACAGACAAAGCATTAGTATTACACAATTTGGTATTATTTATTTGGGATGATATATATGGCGTTGTCCTTAAGGCTTTTAGTTTGGGAATCTCTTCATCACCAACATGATAATCCCCTTAAAGGAAACTCCTTTCCCATTCAAACTGTGGTTCATTTTCGTTGTTTGCCAATGCCATCTAAGTCTAACCACTGCGAATTATTTACTAATATCTTCCATAATTTAGACACTACTAGCTATCACGAAAAGAAATGTCTACAAGTTGGAAATGACTAACTAAAGATCTAATTTTTATTACATAATTAATCTTTTACTGAATTTAGTTTATATAACTAATAATTTGAGAGTGTTTGAAAATGGTGAGCACATAGTGAGAGTAAAAGTAGTGACAAGTGGGAATAAAATAAAGCGTTGTTGATGGAAAAAGTTGATGATTAGGAATAGGAAAGGAGTCGTCAGGAGCTTAATTAATTGGCTCATATTCATTTGTGGAAAAAGAAGCGAAAAGGACGGCATTTCAATGATCATTTACTGCCTTTTGGTTTGGATCACTCATTCATGCACTTCTTTTCTTGAGGAGCTGCTCCATATATCCATACTCTATTTCCTATTTTAATTGCTTAATCACTCAAATATTTATTTATTATTATTATTTTGTGCTTCTTTCATTCCATTCATTTATATATATTATTAAAAATTAACTCATTGATAATATACAATACTATTTTTTTAATGTGTATCATTAGACACATTAAAAAACAAAATGAGAAATATAATCAATATCTTGATTTATATTAAAATTATTTTATTTTTTATTTTACTATTATAATCTTAACTATCATTTTTTATTTATAATTATAATAATTGAGACAAGAATATAATTAAACGAATTAAAATGAAATTTTTATATATTTTTTAAATGAAAGATAAACAAAAAAATTAAATAAATAAATAAATAAATATAACGAAAAAAAAAGTAATATATAATAATAGTGATAATAAAATTATTTAGGTGAGATACAAAGGTGAAAAAATAGGTCAACTCACTTTAGGTGGTTTGCCGTGAACCTACTCAAAAACGGGTTTAGTTTAACTCGCTCCAATTTATTAGTGAGTTGAGGAATAACAGTTGATTCGTTTATAATTTTTTTAAAATTAAAATTATAAAATTAAATAAAAAACTATATATACACAATTAAATTATAATTTACATAAATATTTAATTTTATTAATATAATATTTTTAAAAAATTTATATATAAAATAAAAATATTTTTAAAATTTCAGTATTGGTTTAATATATATTTAGTTTTTATATTTTGTCTCTACTGTTTTAGTTTTTATTTTCAATTTCTTAAAACTTGTCTATTATTATATACTATAAAAAAATAAAAGAAAAAAAAAACTAAAACTAAAACAAAAGAAATAGGAAATCAATATAATAAATCAGTGATTGAATATAAAAAGAAAAAATAATTAACAATTAAAAATGGAAGCAAATATTAAAAAATAAATAAAAATATTGGAAAGGTATCGAAGCCTGTGATCACATTTGGTTACCTTAATGTTGTGTACAGATGTATACCTTTAGTTAATTTTAAGAGATATTATTTTATTTATATTTTATTATTAAAGAAATAAAAATATATGAAATAATATAATAAAATATAAAATTGTTAAAAAATTAAAATAATTAATATAATTTCATATAGTGTATTTGTAAGAATTTTTGTGCTTTGATAAATAGATTCATTACTCATTCATGGCATGACTCAGGATTAAGCTACATCAACGTAGTAAGAGAAAAACTATTTTGTTTGCTAACTGAGTGGTATTTATATTTACAAAATTGCATCCGTCTTAATTTTGTATAAATATATTTTTATTTTCTATTTTTTTGAGTAAATAATTTTTTTTTGTGTATGGGTTTTGAATTCTCTTGAACTCTCTCTAATAATATTTATTTTGCCTATAAAAAAAAGTTACATCAGTATATGTGAGAGTATCTCTTTAGATGAATAAAATTATATATTTAACATATATATATATATATATATATATATATATATATATATGTATAACATAGTCTAGATAGGCAATATATTAACAATGTGATACTTGTTTTCCTTAAGGTTCTCTTTCAAAATAACGTTTTGTCTTTTTTAATCGTGTATCCAAAATTTTATAATCAAAATTAGGTACAAAAATATCACATAATTAATATATTAATATTAAATAATATAATTTTTATTATTAAAGATATTAGAATCCAAATTAAAGACTGTACCTTTAAGACGGATTAACACTTAAAATTTTAATATATTCAAAATATTAAAATTTAAATAAATTTTATATTATTTGATAAGTTTGTTAAATATTTTTGTCGAAAGTATTATTATTATTATTTTTTGGTGAAAGCGAAAGTATTGAATCTAAGCCCTTATGGTATGACGAGGTACATTAGAACTTCTCACCTACAGATGGTCTTAAAAAGAAGAGTATTACATAAAATTTGACGTTGACAAAAAGAAAAATTGTCTTAAAATAAATATTTTTAAAAATAAAAATATTTTTTAATTATTTCACGTACTAAACACATGGTACACGTTATTGTCAAATAAATAAATTCAAAATTCCCTTTTATTAAAGTGGAAGTATTATGTTGATTAAAAGATTTTTTATTTTTTTTTAAAAAGAAAAGTATGTTGAACGCACGTATATTTATCTCTAACTTTCATAAGGACTAATAACTCTATAAAAAGGGAGAATTATAACCATGCAAAAGTAAGAAAATTCTATCTAAATACATTGTTCTTTAAATTTTTTTGTAACATTTTATCGTCAAACTCTTTTGTAAATTCTTAAAAAAGAATAATTTTTATCTTTGACATTTTGGGTGAGGTGACTGTAGCACAAAGATGTTAATGGATAAATATTTAAGGAATTAAATATTTTGAGTAAAAATTTTAGATTATATATAACCTTAAAAATGTAAGATGAATCTCATGTTCTTTTTTTTAAACTATTTATTATTTATATATCTCTGTTAATAAATTCTGAATGAAAATAGTTTTGATTTTGAAACATAATGTCTGTCTTTATCTTAATACATCGTCTGTTACTTAAAAGTGATGATTATTAAAAATTTAATTTTACAAGAATATTAAAGTTGAAACAATTGATTCAACCCCTTATCTTGTTTTTTTTTTTTTTTTTACTTTTAAAAGGTTAATTATTATCTTTTAATATGTCTATATACATATAATAAAAATTATTAAAATAATTATTATGTTTCTTAATTTTAGAATAACTATCATTAAACTACATTACTTGACTTAATAAATTATAATACTCACTTAAAAACTAAAAGATAAAGGAATAAGTTAATTTAAGAGTAGATTTTGTTAAACTTATTTTGTTTAACAATTCTTTGTAAAATATAAATCTAATTATTTTAACTATTAAACAATGTGATATTAACCATTAATATATATATATATATATATATATATATATATATATACACACATATCAAAGTTTAGATAAATTAATTATTTATAAATATATAATTTATAGTTAATATTTATTTATATATTTAAATATATTATACATTAAAATAACTTAAATATGTTTAGTAAAATATTAATTAATTTTTGAATTATATGAGTTTTTTTAATTGATTTAATCAATTTATATGAAACTTTCAGTTAAATGACTGGATTGATAAAAATTAACACTCGTAAACAATTATTAAGTGGAATAATTTTGAAATTTTTTTTGAATTATTTGATTGTCACCCTTTGTAAGAATGGTATGTTAATTAATTTTTACTTATAATCATTTTAACTTTTAAGGAAATATAAATTAATTTTACAATATTATTTTTTACTTACATTTTAACTTTTTAATTTTCTATTTAAAAATTTTCACTTACAATTATATCAAACTGAAATTTTAAATGAACAAAATTTTTACATGACTAATTGATGTGAAAATTCAAAATAAATGGATAAATGGAAAAAAATGTATTTATTAATATATTTTGAATTTTCACATCAATTAGTCATGTAATAAATGGAAAAAAATGTATTTATTAATATATTTTTCAATGATTTAATCTACCGAATCTATATTGAAAAGAAACTTAACATATTTCAAACCATTCTCATTAATTGTTTAAGCTATTTTATTCCAGCTTGTTCTTTTGTTATTTTAACACATAATTCTGTGTACCAAACAATAAGCCCCAATTGGAAGGTAGCTTATAGTCAACAGCATCATCATCAAGATTCCCCTAATGAGAAGTAGTTCTAATATTTATTTTTTCAGTTTTTTTCTTTCAAGCAATAACACAGTCTACATAGACACAGAGACACATACCTTATAATTTCTAGAGCTTGAATAACAGCTCAAGCTTGAGCTGGGCATCTATATCGATCCAATATTCTAAGCATGGAACAACATTTTAGTTCCAAAACAGGGAAATTCAAGATCCCTTTCCATATTTCACTCCTAAATATTTACAGCTAAATTCAGAGAAAGTTTATGTGTGTATATATATATATATATATATATATATTTATTTATTTATACAGAGAGAGAGGAAAAAATGCAAACAGAGGATACATAAAGAAAAAGAACTGCAAATCAAACAAAGAGACAGTGCCAAAGCCCCTCAACAAATAACAACAAAGGACTCGAACACAGGAAGTGAAATAAATTGAAAAAAAGAGAGAGAATAAATGGCATTATAAAGAACATAACAACACAAAAGACAAAACTTTTTTTAGTATACTGTTATAAGTGTTTATAACTTATGTTCAATCAAAATTAGAATTTTAATTAAAATTAGAGTTTTACTTGTTTTAATTAAACACAGATAAAACTTTAATTTTAATTAAACAAGAAGAGGAAAAACACTCGAGTGCTACACTTGAACTTTGTCCAAACACAAAATCATTCACAAAAAACAGAAACAGAAAATGAAGAAATCTCAGTAATTCCACAGAAAGCTCTCAAAACCAGAACTCACAACCCCACCACTCTCAGTCACAGCAAACTCATGAGCATCAGAACCATCATGTGAAGTTTGCAACCACGGCAATGGAGGCTGAAACATCCACGTGTCCTGGGAATCCACGAACACAAACTCATTCCCGAACTCATAACTTGTTTCCAACCTCGGCAACTCAATGATCTCACACAATTCCTCAGACGCAGTAGATAAGTCCGTAGTGGAAGCCGACGACGAAGAGGAAGACGACGTCGTCGTTTTGGACGGTGAACTAGGCAAGTCCATGTGAGCCGCTTTGGCTGCAGCCGCTTGCACGTCTCGTGGGGCCAGCGAAACAGGTCGAGGTAGCGATGTCGCGAGTTCGGGGAAGTTGAGGATCGCGTTTGCTCCCTTTATGTTCAACGCTGCCACGTCATGCGCCCTCGCCGCCATTTCCGGCGTCGGGAATGTGCCTAACCATATGCGTGATTTCTTCCTTGGCTCGCGGATTTCAGACACCCATTTCCCCCAATTTCTCATTCTGACCCCTCTGTACACTGGGTGCTTGTTCGAGTCGCGGTTACACTTCTCCACCTTTGGTCCAGTTTTAGGATCTGAGGACGATGATGATGAGTTTGAGTTACTCTCTACCTCATCGGGTGAAACTCTCATGTTATTGAATTTGGTGTAATCTTTTCGAAATATAAGTGATAACGAAAATGCAATTAAATTGTGGTTGTGGAATTCTTAGAGACTTGATTAAAATTGTACTTGGATGGGTTTGTGTGGAGTGTAGAAGCAGGGGAACTAAGAGGGATTTGCAAGGCATGCAAATGATATGCAAGGGAGAAAATTTGATGAATGTTTTGTTAGAGTCATCTCTGAATGAGTCATATAACACTTATAAAGGTTGATAAAGGACCCACCAGAGAAATGGGTCGCTTTGGGAGGCTCGGTGGGTACAAATACACGATGGGTCACCCTTTCTCTATGCCACGCAACATTGCTTTTGGTGTGCAGTGTTCACTTTCACTTCTCCTAATATTTCCCCAGCCCCCGGTTTCACCCCATTGCTCACTGTTCATTTATCCCTTATCCGGTGTATTCGTTCAAAGTCACCCAGCTTTTCAGCCCCATTATGCACACCACTTACCCTCCTGTCTCTCCAATTTGCCCTTTTCCTATTCCATTTTTAATCTTTTAGTATCTGATATACGTATGAGTCCTTCGTTCGTTGCATCTTGGTACCAAGATTGGTTGGTGGATTTATAAATGTAAGTGGTGACGCAAGTAACACGATCGCACTAATCAATAATATATAATTAGGCTATCATTTATGTACCCTTTTTTTTATATTGGTTTGGCACCATGCTGCGTTTAGTCTTCGTGGTGACTCTCTTGTTTTTATTACATATATAAGGATTTTAAATGACTACGTCATTTTGAAGAATTTTATATTGCCCCCAATTTCAACTCTAACGTGATTGAACTAACTATATGTTCGTTATCCATGTGCTATCAAGTTAACCGATTACTTGAATTGATCATTAACAGTTCATTTGTTGAGAAATGCTTGTTCCTAGATAACTTGGTATATAACACCTGTTAAAGTTTGTTAAATTAATTGAAGAAGATACATATCCTCTTTTCGACCTATTAGTCTGGAGATTATCTATCGTACCAAGCCATGTGAGTGACTTTAAAACTAGATAGCAAGAGCCAGCAATGTTTAGGTTTTTGGACCCTTCTTTGATATCTTCCCTTTTGCTATATATTATTTTCCATTCCTAGCAGATGCAATGAACTCTATTTGTTTTTTGTTCAATTTTAGACTCACAAGTGTCTAGACAAATTAGGATGCTAGCTAGCTACTCGCATCAAAATATTTTCCATGGAGTGATTGTCCCAGCAAATTCATAATCAGGTAGCAGTTGCAATGTGGTATTGATATCATTAACATCACCCCACATCTCAGGCACCAAACAGGAGTCACACACCGCTTATGGGTCCCAGGTCCTCAACAGTGATACGTTGGTGTTGCACGTATGATGGACCATAGATGGCTCCAATTGTTCACTTCTTGCCACGTGCAGTTGTGAACAGCTATTTGATTCTATTAATAAATGGACTAATTCCAAACATTAAAGTGACAATTCAAAGTTCAAATTTTCAAATGAACCCTTCTACTACTATTATAAAGACTTGACACGTTACAGTCACCCCAAATAAAAGAAAACGAATTTTACACATTACAAGACTCTGTAATTAAGAATAATAGTCTACATGTCATTACCATGACAGTTACGATGTCGTTTTTTGGGAAAATAATTTATCAGAACATTAATTATAAAAAAATCAAAGGGGTCAAAGATGTAGGCCTTACCCGACTTAGCTGATTTTGTTTCGTCATTTCAGCAAATATAATGAGAGCAATATTCCAAAAGCGGCAATAAACTCAACGTCCGTACGTGGATATGATAACTTATTTGCTGTTTATTTAATCACAGATATCAGGTTAATATATTTTCAGGTAAGCCAACCATCCCTGTCTCCTCCCTTTATTTATAATACCCTTTATTTTATGTTTCAAGCAAAGACAAGTATTTATTATTTTAAATATATTCATATCATTAACTACAAATTATTAAAAAAAAATAAGAATCTTGATTTTAATTTAATGGTTTTATTCATTTTAATTATTTTATAAAACTTAAGCAGTGAACGAGAGTGGTATTCATTATTGTTTTTGAGATGAATCATTTTGATTTTAAGCATAAGAAAAATAAGCAGGAATTGATAATAAAGTACAGAAAATTGATATGAAGTTATTAACGAAGCACCGTTGTCTTTAGCTCTACCACATGTAATGTATGATATGCTGTACGTATTCATAGTCATAGTCACTTTTAAATTTGCTGCTTTTGTGCTGTTGCTTTTGGTTGTCTCCTTCTCATTTCTCATAGCAATCACATTTAATAAAAGCCTTGAAGTTGACGGGTTTAGTTTGGCTTGCTCCAAATTCATTTGTATAAAAGAAGTGTTAATCTATCTTTATGTAAACTAAGTAAATTTTATTCCATTTTGTAGTAAAAATGGAATTTTACTATTAGTTACCTTGTTACATTGGCAGACACTTTTAATTACTACTAAAAAGCTAATTATTGAGAAAAATATTAATTTTAAATGATATTATTAGAAGAAAACAAAATATAAAATTGTTAAATAAGAAATATGAATTTTACATGTCACATCGGTTATATATATATATATATATTATACGATGCAATTTTTAAATTATTATTTATTGTTTGATTTATTTTAATATTATCTTCTAAAATTTTTTGAGTTTTTTTTATCCTTTTTCACTAAACTAAATATCATCTACTTTTTTTGACTAGTACTTTTATTGACTTTTTTTTAAATATGTGTTTAAATTATTTTAATTAATTTTTTATCATCTTTTTCACATTCTCATATTCATGCATATACAGTTGTATTTTATTTTTATTTTTATGTGTGATTAATCATTCATCTTAACCTTCTTATTTTTTAAAGATTTCTTATTTTTATATTATTCCTTTAAAACTCAACATTTACTATTATATAAAATAATTGGTCATGTAACAATTTATTAAAAATTTTCTTTTTAGCTTGATACTATATACTTTACAATTACAATAACTTTTAATATCTTTTTTTACTTTAATCACTAAGTTTGTCTTCTGTAAATAATATTTTCATTAATTTTTCTATTATTATGTAAAATCTTATTATCTATTGTTATATTTCTTTTAATAATATATGCTAAAGTTCTTTGAGTTTTTCTTTCTCCCTTCTCATTAAACTAAACATCATGTCATTTACTTTATTGACTAGTGTTGCTATTCACTTTCTCTACATGTGTTCAAACCTTGTTAATCGATTTTTTTTTTATTTTTTCACAATACGCGTTAATCTAATATTCATGCATATATATAATTTTTTATCGTCTTTTTTTACAATTCTTTTACCTTAACCTTCTCATTTCTACAACTTTTTTTTTCTTGTATTGTTCCTTTAAAACTCAAAATTTATAATCATATAAGATGGTTAGTTGTATAACATGTGTTTAACTTCTTTTTTTTTTAGCTTGATAGGTACTTTATTATCACCACTAACGTCTAATATATTTTTCACTTCAATTACTTAGTTTGTATTCTATTTTTTTTTGCTAAAATTGTAATGCATATAGTGTTTTACTTAACCTCAAATAAGAACACTTAGATTCTAATGTATGTCTTGAAAGCTCAAGATCAAAGTTAATTAACATTTTCTTTTGATTCCTCAATCATAATTATGTCATTTACGAAGAGTATGTATTTTGAAATAATTTTTTTATGCCACAAATATGTACATCCAAGACAAATTAAACAAATAAGGACTAAAAAAAAAATGCTAATATAAATATATCCCTATAAGAAAGTCCTTAGTTATCTCATCATACACATATTGTATTGCTTAAACATATGTTACCTAAACTTATTTATTTTCTAAAACTTTCTTCAATACTTCTCTTAGCACATAGTCATGTATCCTTTTCAAGTTAATTAAAATTATATGTAATTCTTTTCTTTGTAATAATACTTTCTTATCAACTTTTGTAAAATAGTATTTATAACTTTTATCGTAGATCTTTCTGACATAATCAAATTGATTATCTACAACCAAGTTTTTTTTCGTAGTTTATACTCAATCATCTTTTTTCATAATATAATATAATAAAATAAAATATTTATCAACCTCTTTAAATTTATGAATTTAATTTTTTAATAAAAATATTTGTATAAACTTTCTCAAATAAAACTAATTTTAGAAATTAGTTCTCTTTCTCATCACACTAGGTTAATTTTTTTATATACTTAAAGCATTTATTAACCTAATTGTGAGTATGATTTTTTAAAGCAAAATTATTTTAGTAATTTTATCTAACATGAATGGTTTTTGGAGTTGATTCTCTTTTTTATGTAAAATGGGTTTTTTTTTTTTTTTTTATTAATAACAAACATTCTTCTCATGACTTCAAAATTTTAGAGGTGATAATATGTAATAATTGGTCATAATGATTTGTCTATTTGTTTATGAGTAACATGTCGTAAAATAATAATTTAGTTTCTATTTTATTACATAAGACTATTCAAAAATGGCTAGGAAATTTTGTATGTCTAAGAAAAACAATGTCTTTTGAAATGCTATGTGGTTTAACAATTTCTTTGTATAAGAAATCAGATATGAAAATCCTCTACTATTACAAAGATATAATTTTTTTCCTTTTTTAACCCTAGGCAATCCTAAAACCAAATTTATGGATCATTTTACCCAATTTTCATCGAGCAACATATCTAAAGTGTTCTTAACACCAAAATGGCTTATTAACTTAATTTTGTGGACTTCTCTCTCAAGTTATTCTCGTATTGAATAAGATGAAATGCAAAGCATATTTTTCTTAAACAAGAAATCATCAACTTTATAAAATTTTCTAAACAATTTCCTCTAACATGTAAAATACATAGTAGAAAAGTTATTATCATTAACATAAAACTATTTCACATATATACTCAAAACCAAGTATTTGACATTAAGAGTTGAAAAGAGAGCATACCTTTAGCACAGTGCATCAAACATAATAATTTTTTATTGCCTTACTTATATTTGATGGCAAGAAAAAACATACCAATGTACT